ATTATAATCCTCATCATTTCCAAACAATGGCCTTGTTTGTTAGACAGATGTGAAATTCAATCCAACGTATTTGGAGAGCATCAGATATAAGAAGCTGAAGCCTTTAGTAAATGAATGGCAAGCTCTTCCACAACTTAGTCCATTGCTGCAAATACAATGGAGAAAGAACACAGGTGTAGCTGTGAGTTAAAGTAAACACTGCACATTCTCAAATTGAGTCTTTGTGTAGAAAGCAAAGGTAGTTCTTGACTTACAACTGTTCATTTACAGTAGTTCAAAGTTGCAATGGATTTGGAAAAAGCGACTTACAACCCATCCTCCAAGTTATGACCGTTCCCCCCCCCCCACGCAGCAGTCATGTGATTGCAATTTAGGCATTTGGTAACTAGCTCACATCTTCCAACAAGGAAAGTCAATTGGGGAAGCTGGATTCACTTAGTGACAATTCACTTAACAACCAATGTAAAATGGTCATAAAATCAGGTCTGGTGATATGATGACTTGCTTAATAACTGTGTCATTTAGTGACTGAAATTCTAGTCCCAAATGGGGTTGTAAGTCGAGAACTACCTGACTTAGATGGAGATATGCGGGTGCTTCTGCCTAATAACAGGACTAAGGCATTTTTTTAAGGCCAGAAAACTTTTGGAAGCAGATTAGATATATCAATTCATTGAATATGTTCATCAGGACTTCACTTATTTAGAAGTTTTCTTCTCAAGGAGGAGGTGGAAGTATAATGCAGTTGGACTTGCAACATTCCATTAATATAGCCAGTCCCAATAAAAATAGTTTCAGCCATCTTGTAGAGTTGATTTCATGATCTGGTCTATCTAGTGGGGCTGACAACTTGGGAGATTCTTTTCTTTGCTGTTTAGAACCACTGTCAGAGTAGCACTAGCACTTTACAGCCCTCTCTAAACGGTTTACAAAGTCAGCATATTGCCTCCAACAATCTAGATCCTCATTTTATTGGCCTCGGAAGGATGGAAGGCTGAATCAACCTTGAGCCGGTCAGGATCGAACTGCTGGCAGTTGGCAGAATCAGCCTGCAATACTGCATTCTAACCCCTGCACCACCAAGGAATCTTGGGTGAGAATGATGGGCCAAGCAATTTCACTTCATCCATCTTGCATTTTCAAGATTTGAGGTTCTGGGAGCTGAAATCCAAATAAATGTAGTAGGCACAAAGTAAAGGATGTGTCCTAGGGCAGACGAGATAGTGGATCTGTCCATATAGTACTTAATTAAAAAACCACACAAGTCAGTGTACATAGAAATAAGGAATGTAATTTAAACAGGTTTCTCAATGATCGAAGGGGGGAATGAATACTAGGGTGCATCACCTCCGAGCACAGCTCACATAACTTAGCAAGTAACAGTCAAGCTGGACTGAACCTCTTTACATTTTCTTATAAAGACTAGAATACACTATCTTGATCATAGATGTAGCTATGTTGGTAGAACTATTTTAGGAAGCAAGAAAGGATTGCAGAAGTAGACTAAGGAACAAGATGAAAAGATACGCAACCTCTCCAATTCAAACAAGTCACACTATTAAGACTTATATCACTTTGCTAACTAAATATGAAATTGTCTCAACTGAATATGTTCATCAGCACTTCATCTATTTTGAGGTTTTCTTCTCCAGGGGTTTTAGCACCAACTTAGTATTATATACCAGCCTTAATCAGCTCATACAGCTAAGAAATTTCACTGACTCAGTCTAGAGACCCATATGTGAACTCTGCAGACAGATAAGTATTAAGTAGAATTGCCAAATCTGAAGCCTGAGAATTTTGGGCACAGATGCCAGATATTGTAATTGTTACAATATCAGGGGAAACTTACTGTATGGAGAGAAATTAACCCATTTTTAATTCATTTGATTCAATTTGACAATTTAAATTGAATTGTTAAATTGAATCAAATGAACAATTTAACAAATTTAGTTTTTTGATGTGATACCATCCACTCTTAAGATTGTGGCCATTAGTACATATTCAAGGATTAAATGGGGCTTTAAATCTCATACAAGATGCACCTAAGTGTGGTAAGAACCGTGATGGTGCAGTGGTTTGAATGCAGTATTGCAGGCTAATTCTGCTGACTGCCAGGAGTTCAGCCCTGATCAGCTCATGATCGACTCAGCCTTCCATCCTTCAGAGATAGATTGGTAAAATGAGGACCCAAATTTTGGGGGGCAATATGCTGACTCTGTAAACCCCTTAAGAGACGGCTGTAAAGCACTGTGAAATGGTATATAAATCTAAGTGCTATTGCTATAAATGGGAAAATATTCTGCTATTACATTTTACCGTCTCTCTTTACCTCAACATATTTGCAGCACAGCATACTCATATAAAGTACCAAGTTGAAACCAGTTTTCTTTCAAAGTATTAATTAAGCTGCAGACTATGGTATATTTATCCATCTTGAAAAATCATTACCTTTGGTCAAAGCAAACATGACTTCATGACCATTTTTTTCCTGTATAATTTTTTCCTCCTAGTCTGCTAAAGCAGACAAAATAGCCCTGGAGTGAATTGCCAAGGGGAGGGAGAATTGCTCATATCTCCTGTGGAAACACTTCCCGAGATGAAACTACTGTATATTCATATTCCTATCATGAACAGAGCATATGCTATTCAATGTCTGATGCTCAGGCCTGGAAAATCCAGCACATTTAAAACAGGAATGCTTACTGACCTGATTGTTCTTCTTTTTCTTCAGAGAACAAATAAGTTAAAAAGATAACAGCTGCAAATGTGAGAGAGACTGAAATGAAAAGGCTGGACCCTACTACTGAGAGGTCCAGTGAAAACCACATAACCAGGGCACGAGTGCTCTCTTGTGTAATATTTATAGATACTATCTCAGGCTCCAGACAGCTTCTTCTGTTACACATCTTTCTTATTGGTGGATATAAAAGTCATGTCCTTACACTGAAATTGTGATGCTGGCTTACAAGTGCATTCAACTTTAAAGGACTACATTCAAAAGTAGATATTTTTTCCAAAAGGAAGATCTATTCTACGGGGTACCCCCAAACAAGATAATCTTAATCTATGAATTCTACTAGAGAAAGAAAAAATAAGTGTACTATAATCCAGGCAGCCCAGTACCCTCCATATGTGTAGACTACAATTTTTAGATTTTTCTATGCTGACACGGAATCTTGAATCTCATGAATTCTTTTGAAATCTGGAAGTCTGGATGATTCATGGCATAAACACGTATTTTTTCCAATCCATCTGGATGATGAAAGATTCGGGATGGTGGTCGTAAGCTTTTCTCCATACACATACAAATAAAATCAGACTGTAACCATTTGCAGCAAAATGAATTGTGTGTGTGCAGCTAGAGTTGTTTCATCTTAAACAGCAAATCAAGTTATATAAGAGAGTCACATAATAAGATGCCTTGAGTCACCATGTGCGAGTAGGCGGCGATATAAATTTTCTAAATAAATAAAAGTCATACATATGCTAAGTGTAATAAAAAAATCAAATGCAGATATTAAAAGATGCATTCCTCAACTAATGTACATTGTCACTTTTGCTATAAAAATGCATTTACTTACCATTCTCAGCTTTTCACTCAGCAAATGCCCCAGAAGAGACAGTATTACTAATTTATTGTTCATCACCGTGATGAACACACACATGCAATTCAAACCTGTATATGCTTACTCAGAAATGTTTTCATTATGGTCACCACACCTTGTTTCAGAATATAACTGTGGATGGCTTTCACAGAAGTTCATGAATATCATTTTAAAAAGTCCATTTAAAACATCTCTTGAGACAAAGCAACTGACTGTAAGATAGCTTTAATCCCAAACATAACCAAACCTTATCTCAAATGTTCTGCTCTATGCCCAAGGGCAGCAATTCTTTGCCTGTTTCCAGATGCTCTGAGCTGCAACTTCCGAAATCTCACACCATTGGACACGTTGGCTAAGATCGGGGGCCGATCGCCCAACTCATCTGAAACACACCCGGGGTGTGTACCCTGGGAACACACTTTACCGAGCTTGGTGAACCCACTGCCCGACCTTATTGTGGTAGCACAGTAAGAATTCCATGCACATCTCTAAAAAAAAATAATAGCTGCTGCCAAATTGGTCTCCAGAATCTGTTTTCTAACGAGCCGGGGAAGAGCCCATTGGTATTTCAACGATTCACTCCATGCATTAGAATCCCATCCTTTCGCGATCACAGAAAACCCTCCGTTATTATGGAACACAACGAGGCATCGACCTTCTAACAAAAACACGTGGGTTCCAACGGAGCGAACCAGAAAACGCGCACGCGCTTTAAAGGCACTACTACGCCATGCCTCATGCCAAGCTCGCGCTCGCGCGTGCGCAGCCCGTCCGCCTACCAATTCCGTTCAAGGTTCTTTGGCGACGAGTTTTTTTTTTTTTCCTTTCCCCTCCTTCCTTCCCCTCTGTTCCCCCGCCCCTTTCAAAGTCTCCACCGTCTCCGCCAGTCTTCTAAATCTAAGCGGCAGCTTCTTCCCCGGAAGAGAGGGGTCGAGGGGGCGGGGCGAAGAACACCGGAAAGGTAGTTTCGCTTCCGGCTGCGCCGAGGGTTCCCGCCTCTTCGAATCCGGTTGGAAGGAAGGAAAGAAAGAAAGAATCGCGGGCGGCGGTTTCCGAGAGGGGAAAGCGAGCGGGGGGAACGACGCGGGGTAAAAGGCGGGAACGGTCGACTGTGCCCTTCTCCGTCATGGTCGTTGCTTCAGCTTCCGGCGTGAGGGTGGGGGTCTGGAAGTGTCCCTATGGCAACAGCGCGCCTTGCCCCTAATTTCCCAGGCCCGACGCGCCTCCCTCGAGAGCCCCTTTCTCTGCGGTTCCCGCTCTGCTTCCCTTCCGTCCCCTTTGAAGGCCTGGCCTCGTACGGAGTGACTGAAAGAGAAAAGGACGGGCGGGCTCCGGTCGAGTGAACGGCGAGCGCGGGAGTCTCCTCGGTTTTAACCTCTCCTCCCTTGGGACAGGCCTGGCAGAGTTTGACGGTTGGTCGTGTTTCCTTGCAAATGCTTCATATTTCGTGGGGGGGGGGGAAGAGGGAGGGTATTTTGATTCAAAGCCCTGTTCCAAAGGTAGGTAACTTGCGTGTTTGGAACTAAGCTCCCACAAACTCGTATCGTTGTTTGTGTTGCCTGGGGCTGATGGAAGTGATATAACAAAGTAGCAAGCACGAGGTTTGCATGCCTGGGGCGTGGAATATCCCCATAGCTCTCAACAGTGCTGACTGGGGAGGATGGAAGTGATAGCCCAAAACAAATGTTAACCTCTTCACCCTGTTCCCTAAACAAGTGTCAGCCCTCAGACTAAGCTTTGTTACTAAATAAGCCTGAATACTGTAATGCAGTGGTTCTCACCCAATGGGGGGGGGTGGGTTTGAGGAAATGTTATGATTTAAATATTGAGTTATGTCTTGGAGGTCCGTGGCCACAAAAAGTGTTTAAAAGGGGTCTGTGGTGAAGAAAAGCTTGAGAACCACTGCTGTAGTAGGATAAAGTCTCTCCCATTGGCAGTCATTTTCTCCTCCCGAGTTTATTTCCCTCTGCTCCTGCTTTTGTAGTCTTTGGTAAGAGGAAAGAATGTAAGAGAATGGCGTTACCAATCTGGAATGAGCAGAGTTGGAATTAAAATTTTTTTTTTATAACATGTATATGTGAAAATGGTAACATTGTCATAGAGTTGTATGGCAGTGTTTCTCAACCTTGACAATTTTAAGGCATGTGGACTTGAACTCCCAGAATTCCACAGCCAGCATTGCTGGCTGTGGAATTCTGGGAATTGAAGTCCACATACCTTAAAATTGTCAAGGTTGAGAAACACTGTTGTATGGGATTGTAGAGTTCAACTAGGTAGTATAGCCTATGGCTCCAGGCAGGATCAAGTAGAATATTTCTGACTGGTGACTATTTGCCCTGTTTTAAAACCTATAGTGAATGAACCATAGTTTTTCCTGTTTTACGTTTGTTTCCCTTTGTGAAAATAGAATAGAGAAATCTGAATGTGGGAGGAAAATAACACACCCAGAATTGTAACTCCTACAGTTTGCCTTCAGTTCTTCGCAAATTCATCATCATGAATTGCAGACCAAATTAAAAGGATAATCACATCCTGAATAACTAGTTCCACTCTAGATTTTTAGTTACATCAAGAAACACATGAAGAGTATGAGATAGATACTCATCTCTTTTTAAAGACAACATCAGTATAAACAAATTGTATTTTGGAGACGTATCAAAAAACTTTTTGGCATTGATTTATTATTTAGACTGATACACTTAAGAGTTAGAAGAAATATTCTGTGGTGCAAGCTGGGATGCTGGACTTTATTTTTATTCAAAGAAGGAGAGGAAACAGCTTAAAATTTGTTGCTGTAGCCAATAATAAACTGAAGTTCTGAAAACATCTGTTGCAACTTGCCGATATATGAAATTACTTTTTTAAGAGATAAATTTTCTTTAAAAAAAAATAAAAAATCATTTTTAAACTGTATTGGTTAAGTTACAAGCCTAATCATAGCTTTCCCCCCAGCATACTGTAATAGGGAATGTAGAACGTGGGTAAACAGATGAAACATGTACATTTTTTTATAATAGCTATTTTGCTGTTATTAAAATGGCTCACTAATATTATATTTTACCATGATTTCATACAAGAATATGAACTGGCCCTCCCCAACCTGGTATGCTCCAAATGTTTTTGGTAGTCTGAAATAGCTCTTGTCAGTATTTGAGAGAATAAATTTGAATCCAACTTTTAGAGGACAGAAATAAATATTGTTTGTAGTGTCATCTCAAGTAGAGTTGGAGAAATGCAACTGATTTCAAAGCCTAATGATTATATCAGGAGATATTATGGCATAAGAGATATATATTTCCTTCCACTATGATTTTTTTTTAAATGTGACATCTGGTTCATCTGTTTATTTAATGTATAACATTTGCTTTATCTTCCACTCTTTTTTCAGGTTCTTGAAGATTCAATTAATTTGAGTCAGTTATGTAAAGAGCATAATGATGGGTGAGTATATGCTAAATTAATCCATTTAATTGTCAATTTTAAGTTACTGTTTTATAATCTACCATTTCAAGAAACCTCTCATTAAAGCAATTGGCAATCATTTTTAATTAGGTTCAAATTTATTATTTGACATTTAAGAATTAATGCATTTCTGAACAATTTCTGTAACTAATGGTTTTCCTAATGCTGCAGAGTATTTGCTATCGTTGTGGTTTCTTTAATGATCGTGAATGTACATACAGCATATGCCACAATTAGTAATTGTGATAGATTTGTGAGAGCTACCACATAACTATTCATCTCTTGCTAGGTCTACTTAAAATAATCAGGTTCTGAGGGGAGAACACATGCTTTTTCTTAATTTTGTGCTCTTTCCACCTGTTGGGTTCACATATTCTGTTAGATTATAATGGGATTTGCTGGGGAGCAGGGGAAGGTTTGTTTCGTGTGAACATAGCCACTGAGCTGTGTAAACTGCAGTTTATAGCTCAGTGTTATGAGTGAAACCAGTCACTTTAGTTCATTCAGCAAAATATGGTTGAAATATATGGCTTAATGGAGTGGAAAGTAGTTATATTCAAAGGGTCCTTTACTCTTATACTTTTTAAAATAATATTTTAAAATATAGTTCCTTTTTAGAAGCAGCAAGTACTCATTGAAAGCATGCTTTGATGCTTTTTATAAGTTGCTGTCATTAGTGTTGCTTGATTGGTGTTTTCTTCCTTGTATATGTATAATTTTTCTATTTCTTTATCTTCTGTTTATTTACCTTTTTCATAAGCCCAAAATTGCAAACATTTAATCTTTTGCTCTCATTATTATACTTGTTACCTTTCCCTGCGTTAAAATTGTGGAGAAATGCTAACACATTGCTTGTACTTTGGTGCTGCTTTTTATCTTTTCTCTATTGAAGTTTCGCATGTATTCTTCAGTACTTTCTATTTTATTATGTAGAATCTGTAATAGCAAGAAAACAAATTGCTTATTTTTCTTCCTCAAATAATAAACTTTTTTTAATTAAAGATGAAACTACTGACTGTATGAAGATGGATGCTGGGGACTATATGCAAGCTAATCATACTTCTGTGTTCAAGACTTTTCCTGAGCAACAGAATTTTATTTCAGGCAACCAGCATCCATTGTCTGACAACAAGGTTTGGGAATCAGTTACTTCTGCTTTCTTATCTGTATAATGATTTTTATAAATCAATATATGTCTGATTATAAATTAATTTTGAAATTACATTTAATAAAGAAGCTAGAAACTTATCTTATGTCACTCTGGCTATTCAGATCAAGATTTATAAGATTTTAATCCTCTGCTTCTAGATATTCAAGCCTCTGTGATTAGTAAAAATGCTGCAAAATTTATTACAGAATATTTGGTACATGCGGTGCTTGCTTAAACACCAATTGACACTGGGATTTTCATCACTAAGTGATATGGTCATTAGGTGAAACATTGTGTAACAGCACCCCTTAGCATCAGCAATGGCAGGGGCATTGCAACAGTTAGGTTGGTCATAAATACCATTCCTTCAGCCCCATTGTAACTGAACAGTGATTGAATAAATAGTCATTGCGCAAGTACCTGTCCTTATTAATATGAATCATTATTTTTTGCCTTACAATCATGAACAGTAATAACATTTTATCAGTTTCTTCTGTTTAATAGTTTTCTCTGATTTGCTTTTCCAACTTTGTTAATCTTTACTACTGAAGTTCTAGACCAGCGGTTCTCAACCCATTTCACGGGGGTCGCCAAGCAAGGCTGTCCGCCATTTTTTCCCCTTTTCTGGCGGGTGCCTTACCTCCCTTGAGCTGGGCCAGCTGGTGGTCGGCCTGCTCCGTCTCTGCCGCTTGCCAGCTACACCTCGGCCGGCGCAGGGGGCAGAACCACGCATGCGTGGCGCTCCCAGGCAGGGAAAGTCCTCGACTTACGACCGGTTGGGTAGTCCTCGACTTACGACTGGTTTAGTCCTCGACTTACGACCGGTTTAGTCCTCGACTTACGACCGGTTGGGGGTCGCGGCATTAAAAAGGTTGAGAACCACTGTTCTAGACTGTGAAATAACCATGTTGAGATTGTTTTGTACTATTTTTTATCTTTTGTAATCGATTTTCATTATATTTTGTAACTGAAGAATGTTAGAGGGACTAGGAGTTGCAATTACTTCTTAACATGTAATTGTAACTACTGAAACTACTGGTTCTTTTCTTGACATTTTTAATTTTTTGTTTCTCTGTTTAGTTTTTATCAAACAAGTTTAACAGCTTCGCCGAACCGTCCACTTCTCTAACGGGAAATACTTGTAGTTTCAATTACTATCCAGGTAAGTCTGGTTGCATTGGCTTGTAAACAGATGAAGATCTGTCAGAAGATTCTAACAGTTAAGTAACAAGTCACATGTGATCTGTGTTTTCAATATTACAATTTATAGTTGAATCTAAAGTGTCCACTAAATAGAGGGGTGGTCTTCATTTAACGTGTGGCCTTATTCCTATAAGGAGTTAATATAATTTGAAATGTTCTTCATGGTTTATAGAGGCATATTTGCCGGTTGGATGACTTGGTAATTAGAAATATCAATTGTTAGCAGGAATTTCCATTTACTGTATCCTTGGGACCTATTCTATTGTCAGAATCTGGTTTCAAATTCAAAGTATGTTCTGTAGTTTGGTCTGAGCTCAGGTTTTTTAAGAAAGGCATTGCTAATTTAGCAGGCATAGACTTACATTTGTAAAATATATGTATTTTGACTGAATATTCTGATGCGTTCATTTGCATACTCTGCATATTGAACATTTTTTGTTTGCATTTTTACAATATTGAATATCTCTTTCTGAAAAAAGTAGATAGGACCAAGTAAAATTTAGTGTGGCTCAAAGTTTGGTTGGAAATTTTGGTAGGAATTGATTATGGACAGTCAAGTTGACTATGTTCACCTCACTGACTTTTCTTAAAAGTGCTTTTGTAAACGGATTGAATTGTAACATTTACAAATAAAAAAAGTTAATTATTAGCACAAGGTAGTTTGTTTAAACATAAAGAAAGCCAGTTGAGTTTTCCTTTCAAAATATATTTTGGAAAATCTCTTTAAAATATTTGTAATTTCTTCTAAAAATTGGGGAACATAGAAAACATATTTTTATGTAGTAGGTAATATAAAAGATTATTGGCATCTTATTGACCATTCCTTGCTTCTGCTCTGGCAGAATCCCCAAGCTTTGAGAGCTGCCCAGCAACTGGAGTAAGAAGAACATTTGGAACAAGTCCCAATGGTCAGTGGAAGAGTTGCAGCTCCCCTCTTGGCTCTGTTTCACAGAAGCCCAGAGTAAGTCGCAGTGTATATTTTGAAACACGCAAAAATCCAAGGTACATAAAATTTTCTCATTTTTTTTTTGTTATTAACACCTTAATTCTATTTGTTACAGGTTTTGTAATCTTTTAAGAATTATATGAAACATTCTGAAATGTAACAAAGCTTAGATATGCGGTTGCTTAGGAAATAAATGCTGGCAGTCCTCACCCATGGTAATTGGGACCGGGAACTCTGTTGCTAAGCGATACAGTCATAAGGTGCGATGTCACATGACCACATCAACTTACAATAACAGTTTCAGCATTCACGGTTGCTGTCTTTAGATGAATTCTATGTGATTGCACCATCTTGCAGTCACGTGATTGCCATTTGTGACCTGTCAGCTTCCCCATTGACTTTGCTTGTCAGAAGGCAGCAACGAAGATCACAAATGACAATCGTGATTGCTGGACACTGCATTGTAATTGCAAGCCACTTGCCAAGCGCCTGAATTGTGATCATGTGACTTTGAGGACAGTGTAACAGTCACGAGGGGTACAGTGCTGTCATTTTGAATGATCACTGAACAGGTGGACATTAAAAAAGGCTACCTGTAATAGTTTTAATGTACTAATTGGTGAAGGGAATGTCCCTTATTCATAGACATCTGAGAAACAGAATATATCACCCTGGTTCTTTGTGTCATTTGGTAATTTCGATGCAACAGACTTCACATGAGACATCTGTATTTTTTGCCAATTAAAGTCATTGAGACAGGCTTTGATTAGCATAGAATATTGGTCTGTTTCATTTGAAGTCCACTGTACTGAAGTACAGTAATTTGAAATTTAGCTGTACAGGTAGTCCTTCATTTACAACAATTTGTTTAGTGGCCGGTTACAATGGCACCAAAAAGTGATTTATGACATGATTTATGACCAGTTTTCACACCTATGACCATGTGATCAGTATTTGGGCACTTGGCAACTAATATATATTTATGAGAGTTGCACTGTCCAGGAGTCACCATTTGTAACCTTCTCGGCCGACTTCCAACAAAGTCAGTGGGAGAAGCCAGATTCACTTAACAAGCACATGAGTCACTTAACAATCAAGGTTATTCACTTAACAGTGGTGGCAAAAAAGTCATAAAATGGGATGACTCAATTAACAACTGCCTTAGCAATGGAAATTTTGGGCTCAATTGTCATAATTTGTGGACTACCTGTATAGATATAAAAGCAGCTGCAAATATCTTAAATGAACTGCATATTAGTGATTTAAAAGTAAAGGGGACTTTTATGCAGCTTTTTAAAAAAGTTTGATTTGGTTTACTTCTTGTGAGATTGGCCTAACTTACAAGAAAAGGCCGAATCCTATAAATACATGCTTTTAAATTTACATGGTTGGGAGAGTTGTATTATAGAACTTATTTACATTTTTTCCTTGCTAGAAAGACAGACCAGGTTGTGAAAACCTTATCTTACATGTTCAAGTTAATGGGCTAGATGCCAGGTGTGGTATCCCCTGGAATATGAGTAATGATATTAGGAATTACCAAATCATAACAGCAAAGCAGGAGGAGGGCCAGAGGTTGAAGACCAAGAGAGCTTCTGGGAAAGGAAGCTTAAGACTTCCAGCCTATATAGGCTTAACAATGTTCATTATATAGTCAGCAGGAGAATAGATGAAGACTATCAAATTCACAGTTTAAAGTGAAGAATATTAAGTCAGAGTTCAGACATAAACCTCATATAAACATTGTGGAAGGACTTGAAATAAGATCATACTTGAAAACTCAATTATTCTGGAGTTGAAGCAGTTCGCCATAGATGAGTGGATCAATATTCCCAATTACAGGACTATTTGGTTGCAAATTATTGCAGTTAAAGAAGTGATTATTTTTTACAGTATTATAGTCCACTACTTGAATCCTTTATCTGTTTACTCAGAATGCCCTTATGTCAGTAGAATCCACACGAAAGCTATATCAATGTTAACCTCCTCCGAAACACAGTATCACATCATTTTTTGTTACTGTACATTATTCTAGGTTCATTATGATTTTTTTTCACCATACTATATGTTTAAATTGTCTTTTTTAAAGAGAATAATCATGGTTTTGTTAGAGTTTCTATTTGAGTTTTTTTAGAATGCAAAGAACCATATTTAAAACTTGAATGTCTTTATAAGCCTAGCTAAAAAGAGTTATTTTTATTTTTTTTTGCAGTATGGCTGCAAATTCCTTTGTTGGAAAATCAAACCACCACAGTCACATTTCTACCTATGAAAAATCCTTTCCAATTAAGTCTGTCGCTAATCCATCATGTCGTCGGAGCTTACTAAGTCCCAAGAAGTCTCAGAGAAGATTCGTCAGTACTGTAGAAGAGGTAGGTGAAAAAGGAAAAAAAATAAATTGAATCTGCTTTGGTGGAGGAAGACACACACACACATATTCACACACACACATTCTAACACAAGATAGATCTGGAATATAAATATACAGATGTGTGAAATACAGGTGTTCATAGACTAACCAACTGCCCGTAAGCCAAATTCCTATTCTCTATGGAATGCCATATGCTAAATAAATAAAATTTCTGCGGAATCATTCTTATTTATGGACAAGACCATTTGTCTGTACTCTCACATCACTGAGATCATTTTCATCCCTGGTGATGCTTGTTTTAGGATTTTAATTTGTTCTGCATATTAGATAAACTTAGTTTGTCAGTGATAAATTACTTTAAACCACTTTTGCATCCTATAAAATAATTGTGTTTCTATGTAGACACTCTATTATTGTACTGTGTACTTTCTGGTAATGTATGGGATTTTTTTTTCTCCCCAGATAGTTCGGGAAGAAGAGAAAGAAATATACAGGCAGTTGATTCAAATGGTTACAGGGAAAAATCTGTCAGCTTCCAAAGCCTCTTCATTATTGTCTCTTCATCTGTGAGTCTCTGAAATATATTGATTAATCTGATTGCCTACAAGTTTGTTTCCAAAATTTCTGGCCTTTTGCTTTTGTTTTCAGGCCCAGGTGTGCAGGTTCCAATAAAAAAAATGTGAAAGAAACTGAAAACAAATGTATGAAACCTTTTGATGTTTGTGGTCCCTCTCTGGACAACCAGTCATCCAGTCTTCTCAGGATACAGGAGCAGCATTCTCACAAACCACTGCCACAACCAGTTTGTAGTTTTACTTCCCCTGTTAACTTTGATCTCAAGACCAGTACACCCATACAACAAACTAATCTAGTAGCATTGGATGTGCAGACTGAAGGTAAAAACATAACTGATATACATTGAAATATTGTGGATTTTATTTCATGACCCCAAATTCTTGAATTATTTTCTCCAGACCATCTGCACTGTTAATTCTCAGATGCAGGTTTGTTGTTTCTCCCAGCCTGGTACCTAAATTAACTGAATAAATCTGAATTCAGTCACGATACAGATTCTGTTTTGGAGAAGATTATTGGTACAGAGTAATGTTAAATCTTGCACCCTGTTTTGTTTGATCTAGGATGTGATTCAGTCATAATGTTAAATGGCAAAGACTTCAGATCTCCAGCTCCAAGGCAAGTGGGCTTTCTGATTTGTAGAAACTACAATTTATTGTTTTGAGGGAAGTAGACCAAAAAATATGGGTGAAGTAAATTTGTTGAGCTTAGGCTGCCAGAATAATTAGAACAAATTTATTAATGCTTCATTCATTTTAGAGGGACTTTAGCATTATTTCTGATGTTGGGATTGTCCATTTGGCCTTGGTTTACTTTGAATAAAACATTTTACTGCATTAGTAATTAGTGCAAATTTTGTAGTTTCGTGTAATAAACCTCAAAGTTTTTTCCCCACCCTCTAGACTATTAGAAAGTGCCTCAGACTTTTCTTCAGATTTTCACTGCTTTTCAACTCTGCTGCTGTTTCAGAGTTTTTCTGTAGTCCGTTTGCAGTACCATTTACTGAAGCACTCTGTTTCCCTGGCTTTTTTTGGATATACAGTATCATTTAAGCAGAAAGTGTGACCTTTTCCCAATTGCTGATTCTGATAAACTTCTGAAATTGATAGAATTTGCTAGTAAATTTTTGGTAGAAACTTTTGTTTGGTTGCCAAGTGCACATTTGGACTTAATTATTTACTGCTCTTGATATTCTCTTCTGCCTTAGCAGCACTATTGGAATTTACCTTTAATAACTTGCTTGGTTTTTTTTCCTGGAAGAAACATTAATCCTTTCTACTTTCTGTTTCCATTTTAGTATACCTTTCTTTGAAGCTGAATTGTGGATAAAAGAATTGTAAGAATTTCTAAGAATTTCTAAATCCCTTTCTTAAAGCTAAATTTGCCTTCTTGATTTGACAAGCCATACACACACACACACACACACACACACACACACACACACAGTTTCCTTTTCCAGTACTGTAAAGAAGCTCTAGACAATCTGAATTCCTATTGCTAACAAGGGCAGAGAACTTTATGTTAAGTTCACATGTCTTTGTTGTATCTTACATAGGATCACGTAGGATAGAATATTTGAGAGACTAAAGGATATGGAACTTTAACTTATTAATTTGTGGTCTCAAGACTGAAAATATTTTATAGAAATCACTGAGAAATCTCTGGGGGAGAGGGGCAGTTAAGAAGTGCAGAAAATGAATGAATGAATGAATAAACAAACAAACTAATAAAGTACCTGTGAAATCACTGTTCTGATTAGATACCAATATTGGAGAGCTTTTAGGAGTAAATATAAATCTTTTAAAGTTTTAAAATAGAAAAATAAGTATTCAAATCCCAGCACTAAATCTTAGTCTGTACTATTAGATCCTTTCTTACAGATCTTTCAGTTAAATGTGGGCAATATTTGGAAGATAGGTGCCATAATTCGCCCTTCTGATTATCTGAAGAGCTGGAGTGATGCTATGATATTAATGAGTGCATTCATTTTTTTCGCTATTTACTTTTCAAAGGGCTGCCCCCACATGGCCTCAAACTGCCCCCACATGGCCTCAATCTGACTATTTGCTACTGCATGTTATCGTTTGATCTAGGAATTACCACTGAAATGCAATTGAAGTCCCAGTGTGCAAGCTGCAAGCTGCCTATCTTGAATTAAATGCGTGTGTGGGTGTCCAGCAGGACTAGAACTAGATCAGCAGACGTGACACATTCACCCAGCATTCCCCATCTTATATCTCAAACCAGCCTTCCCATAAGGAAGGAGCAGGAGCTGAAAGAAATAATAAGATAGGCATAACTAAAAGTGTGCAAAAAGGAATTTTCATGGCTGGTGATTCTGAATATTCAGTTTGTTATGTAAAAACTTCCATCTAGAACCAGTGTATATGACTCCCGAGCCCGTGAGAGATTGCGACATATAGAGGAGCAGAAAGCCTTGGCATTGCAGTTACAGAATCAGGTGAGATAACTCAACATGGTTATTGTTTTTAAAGGCTCATCCAGGTGCTTTCTATCTTTGCTAGGAATGATAATAATTGATGCAATTGAATACATAGTTTTCCTTAATATTGCCATTTGAGTCCCTTGCATGCTAGATGACCCATGTCCTGTTTGGTCATTGTTTCAAAGGTATTTACTTCCCTAAATAGAGTAATAGAATGACCACAGGTAACCAAAAAAAAAAGCAATGGAAGCAACATCTGACTTCCTGCTGGCTTCTCCATTGACTTTGCTTGTGGGGAGCTGGCAGGGAGTATCAAAAATCACCACAGTGGCACTGCAGGACAGCATATCAGTGTTGCTGCAGTGACCACAAGTTTCCCAATACAGCTGGTCTGAAGATCCTTGAAATTTCAATCCCACAGGAGTGATGGGTCCCAGATTTTGGACGTATTCTTTAAGTTGGCCTATTTGAGGTACTTTGATTCAAAAATTGTTGCCTTATAGTGCACCTTTTCACCCAGTTGAAGGTTATAGACAAATAGAAGAGGTTTATAGGTTGAATTGGAAACTGATAAGCTAGATATCAGCAAGCTTGGTCATATTTATGAACAGTCACTAGATTTTCCTGTTGTTGATATGGGCTTTTATATAACCATAATTCTATATAGGTTTGATGACTGCATCCTTCTGTACATAAATTAATGTAAGAAATCCAGATAATGGGGGTGGGCAACTTGATGAAATTCCTGTCCACAAACGTCTGGGATTGACCACTTGATATAATGTTAAGTGTCACTATTTTAATGATATTCTTTTTAGAGACTGCAGAAAGAGACCTCAGTACCTGAGTCAATAAATTTACATCTTCGAGTTCCTCTTGAAAAGGAAATTCCTGTTACCATTGTTCCAGAGGATAATAAGATAGTGGAAAGTGAAGATGAATTTCCTGAAATTACAGAGGTTAGCTTTTACATTAATGGTAAAAAATCTTGCTGCCTTGGTGAAATAAGTACCTGGATAGTAGTTTATAGAAGTGAACAACTGTCCTGGCAGAGTTGTTCTCAAACTGTGTCTCTTCATAATACATCTCTGTGATAGCATGCTCTGTAGTGTTTTGAAGTTCTCTATTTCATTAAAAGCTAGATTTTTTTGGGGGGGGGGTCTTTTAGCCTAACTTGATATTTCTAGTAGTTTTGTTTCCTGTTATCTGCATTTCTTCAGTGGGGAAAATTTCAAACCCTTTCTTTTTTAAGTGCAACATTAAAAATATATAGGAGGTAATCAAAACATTTCCAGACTTTTCCAAGAGAAACCTGTTTGTAGAACATAATTACGTGAAAACTTTTTCAATATATAATTTTCCTGATCCACAGCCTCCCCCTCCGAAACTTTCAATATGTCCGACCTGCATTACTCCTCTTTGTGTTCTCACTCTGCATTTTGGGTCTATCCTTCATAATGAAGTTTTTACTTAGGAGTCTGGTTTTTCAGCTTGGATTAAAAACCTCAGTGAAACCCAATTCTCTTTCCTATTAACTATTTATAGGAAATGGAGAAAGAAATAAAAAATGTATTACGAAGTGGAAACCAGGACGAAGTGTTGAGTGAAGCCTTCCGGTTAACCATCACTCGGAAAGACATTCAGACTCTTAAGCACCTCAACTGGCTCAATGATGAGGTAAATCTTCAGTCTCTGTTTCAAACCTAATTTTTAAACTCATAAATCTGAGTTGTAAAGGCTCTTTGAGTCCAACATCTACAGGTATCCAGAAGGGCAGCTGTCTAGCCATCATTAAAATACACTCATCACTGCTCTGGATAATTGGCTCTAACTATTTAACTGCTCTATTCATACTGTTGGAATTTTTCCCTTAACATTCAGTTGAAATCTGCTTTTTTAAAATAACTTACATCCATTATTCTTTGTTATGTAGTCTAGTGAGATTTGTACAGGTAGTTCTTAAGTTATGCTCATTTGTTCAGTGACCATTTGAAATTACACTGAATGAATGGTACTTGCCCAATCTGCAAAGTTATGACAATTGCAGTTCCCGCTCAATCACATGGTCAAAATATGGGTGCTTGGCAGCCCACCCATACTTAAGACAGCAGAGATTCTTCAACGTTTCCCATCCTTTGTCTCCCCTCTCCATCTCTGTCCTTTGGCCCCCTGTACTCCGCAGTTGCTACCCTCCTGTGTTCCATCATCCCCGTTGTCATCTTCTTGCTCCCACTGCTAGTCAAATAATCCTGGCTTGATCCTTCGAGAGTCCTTCTTGAAATCATACATGTTTTCTTCGTGAGACTTTAGAGAGAAGACCTTGTGTGACATCAGCTGTCTTCTGAGGGGCCAGGCTGGGTACACTTCAGCAATAAGATTTCTTTACCTAAAAAGAGAAACACAATGACCAAAGGCAGGCAAAAAAAAGCCATTGGTGAAGCAGCAGCTTCTGGCTTCTCTATTGAATCTCCTTATGTTAATATGGCAGGGAGCATTGGAATCTTCCTTCTTTCCTTTCTTCCCCTTCCCTACAGGCAAGTAAACGGCTGCTACTGGGTGGGGAAGAGAGTGAGGGATTGTGAGACTGGCTGGGAAACTCATGGCATAGGTCAGGGGTAGGCAACCTCGGCTCTTTTATGACTCATGGACTTCAACTCCCAGAATTCCCGAGTCAGCACTGACTCAGGAATTCTGGGAGTTGAAGTCCATGAGTCATAAAAGAGCCGAGGTTGCCTACCCCTGGCATAGGTGAACATGAAGATCACATGACACAGCAACAACACAGCAGCAGTCAGTAGCACTGAAGCACCTACAACTTTCTCAGATTTAATTACTTTAGGAGTCATGGGCCATGGATTTTGGACACATTCTGTAAGTTAGCGTCCAAATGTACTTGGTTCAAAAATTGTTGCTCTATGATGCACTGTTTCACCCAGGTCATGACATGAGAGTTTTAGTGGTAATATACCTGTAGATAGATGTTTTTTAGGAATAGAGAAGAAATGTCTTGGAAAAAACATCAAATACTAACATGTATTTCTCTCACACACAGATTATTAATTTCTACATGAGTATGCTGATGGAGAGGAGTAAACAAAAAGGCTTTCCAACTGTTCATGCATTTAACACATTTTTCTTCACCAAGTTAAAAACTGCTGGGTATCCAGCTGTAAAACGTTGGACTAAAAAAGTAGATATATTTTCTGTGGACACTTTATTGGTTCCTATTCACCTTGGTGTCCATTGGTGCCTAGCAGTAAGTATATTATGCATATATATATATAAATGTTCAAGTAAATTCACAGCAGCTCTTTCAAATGTTCCTTGTTTGTTCTGAATGCATTCTAAATTCATTCTTTGTGATGGCTTTTCATTTTGGCATTTTTACTTTCCCAAATGCTTGCTTCTGAAACATTTTTCCATTCTGTTTCCTGCATTATCCCAAATGTGTCAAAAGTACGTACTTCTGGGTAAGATTATGCCAATGTCTTGATACAAAATTTTTGCCTTGTTTAGGTTACTGACTTCAGGAAAAAAACCATCACCTACTACGATTCAATGGGTGGATCCAACAGTGAAGCTTGTAAGATACTCTTGTGAGTATCTCTTTTACGTTAAATGGGTTCATGTTTTCGTCATGATCTTAGCATTGATAGAAACAATCTTCATGCCAAGTGGTTGTTGCTGTTATAACACTTGGGAATACTGAACTTTCAGGGTATTTTCCAAAGAGGCAGCTAAAAGCACGTGTGCTTCTGTAACATGAAAGGTAGATAGTACCCCCTGTAAAATCAATTCAAACAAATCTGATAAATTCTTTCTGGGAGGCTTCCTGTTAAACTTGAGCCTCTTGGCCCTTTACAGTATATTAAAAAAGGGTCTAGGGTATGAATCTCCAAGCGCTGTGCTCTTTTATATTGTGATTGCAATCTTAAGTGTACTATATTTTCATTAAAAAGTTCAGGAATTTATATGAGAGTTATTTGAGAGTAGAAAAATGAAAGAAATGTAACATACAAGGCAGTTATAAAAAGAGATCATATTTGATAATAAGGCCCTTAAGAATACAGAATAAAGAGTTGGAAGGGACCTTGGAGGTTTTCTAATCCAACCCCCTGCTTAAGCAGGAGACCCTATACCATTCTGAACAAATGGCTGTTTCAAGATGGCAATCTCTTAAAAATCTTCAGTGATGGAGCATCCACAAGTTCTGCAGGCAAGCTGGTTAATTGTTCCTCTGTCGGGAAATTTATTGTTAGTTCTAGGTTGGATCACTCCTTGATCATGTTGCCCTGATTTTGGGGATAGGCTCTTGTATCTGAACAAAATGGCAGATTTGAACTTTGAGAGCAACATTCAGATTAATCCACTCTTAAATGGCTTTTCCATTTGGAAAGTGTATTGATCACAGTTTTGGACAGAAACATTGTAATACAGAATTAAAAGATGAACACGTCAAATAATGTTGCTCGAGCATGAAGCTTTGAGTCAAGAAAACTGCATCAAACCTGATCCATTGTCTCTTTGTTGATATTAGCAAGTTAGCGACAGATTTTGATTTTAAAGACAACAACATTGGTTTATTGTATTTTTGTTTGATTTTTCAGTTTTTGTAAGTTATCTGAAAATTACATTACAAAGAACACTTTATTAATAGTTCAAAGAATTTATTTATTAGAACATAGAAGATTGAATAATAGAGTTGGAAGGGACCTTGGAGGTCTTCTAGACCAGTGGTTCCCAACGTTTGTGGCTTGAGGAGCTAGCTGGCTCGCATGTGCACGTGTGTGCAGCTCAACTTGTGCAAGCAGTGGGCCGATGGACATGCACACGCAGCCCAACTTTATGCAAGTTGAGCTGTGGACCCATGTGCATGCATACGGGCCCGCCACTCGTGCAAATTGAGCTGCGTGTGTGCACATGCGCACCAGCCCGCCACTTGGCACGGCCCAGTTGCAGATAGTCCAACCCCCTGCTTGAGTAGGAGACTTTATACCGTTTCAGATAAATGATTGTCCAGTCTCTTTTTGAAAGCCTCAGGTGATAGAGCAACCACAACCTCTGGATGCAAAAGTTCGTTTTGCCTTCAGAAGTTCAAAATATTGTTTCAGTGAAGCATTTCAAGGTCCTCTGTGTCAGTTATTAGGTGAATACATTCTCCCGAAAGAGCGTTTTTTGCTAGAAACCCATCAAAGAATGATGCATGTTGCAATTACATGACCATGGGACACTGCAACTGGTTGTAAAGTTATGCTAGTTGCCAAGGGCCCAAAATGTGGTCATGTGACCATGGAGCCAATGACATTTTACAATGACCAGACGTGTTTTACCATCCATAGCGCACCTGTTCCAAGGCCTTCGTAACTCCAAGGGCACCAAACAAGCAGCCATAGGTTACCTAGCCGCACAGTACAGGTAGTCCGCCACCACAATTGAGCCCAAAATTTCCATCACTAAGCAAGGTAGTTAAGTTAGTTTTGCCCCATTTTACGACCTTTATGCCATGGTTGTTAGGCAAATCACTGCAGTTATTAAGTGAATTGTGTCTGTTGAATGAATCTGGCTTCCCCTTTGACTGGGAAAGTTACAAATGGTGATCACATGATCTTGGGACAGTGCAACTGTCATAAATATACGACAGTTGCCAAGTGCCTGAATTTTGATCACCTGACCAGTGGGGATGCTGCAGTGGTCATGAGTGTGAAATCCGGTAATAAGTCACTTTTTACAGTGCCATTGTAACTTTGAACAGTCACTAAAGAAATGGTTGTAAGTTGACAGCTACCTATAATGTTAAGTTAATGTTAATCCATGGGTTGTCCTTCATCTGCAGGAACACATGTAATCATTAAAGTGTCAGTGAAGGCCACAGTGTCCCTGATATCCAAAGCAGCCTGATATGAGACTTATAATGTTTCCTGAAATGAATGCCTTGCCACTATATTCAAGCAACTTGTAGTTTGGGCATTATGGTAATGTGTTTTCTGTGAGGTGCTTCCTGAGAGATTTCATCCTGTAGCTAGGCTTCTCATAAAACCTTTGCTAAAGGCTATTAAGACATTTCCCAGGTGGCAGTGATTGATAAGTTTGTGAGTTGCAAGTTGTTTGAGGAACCACTTGTTTTTTTATGTACCTATGCGATCTTGATATTCTGCTGAAGATGCTCTGCTAAATATATCAAGACTATCTGATGTTCATCTAGCTATGAAGCGCAGCCTACATTCTCTTATAAAAGCATCCATTAAATGAACACCCTACTGATGGAAATTAACCTGCTTTCATTGTGGATGCTTTCCACCAAAAATTAGAACTTGTTTGCTCTTGCTTTCTCTTGGTTTTGTTTGACATTTTTAAATTAGTGGTCTTGATTACATAGTCTGTGAATATTAGTCTAATGAATTTATCATTTCTACAATTATTGTACTGTAAAAAGGATATACATAAGAAAGTACTAATGCTGCAAAATAAAATTAGTTAAGAAAATGAAAGAAACATAGCAATTAACGTTAAGTCTGCAGGTTCCATAAATCAAAATGACATAAGAAAGGCTTTGCTAGGATTAGCGCCACAGGGAATATATCTTGCTGGAATTTAATCAAATATTTTTCAACGTAGCATACTGAATGTAATGGAAGTTACATTCTTAGAAATCTACTTATTTGCATCCAGGGAAAAATGTTTTCTGAACCTTGGATCGATCTATAGTATAGAAAATTTGGAAACCATCCACCTTTATTCCTTTAAAGCATTTCTACTTTTCCAGCTGTGTGAAGGAGCTTAAAAAGACAAGAACAAACATATAAATATGTCCCACCAGCTTCAAAAAGCAGGGAAATATTTTTACAAGTGACCAGGGCGGGCTGGAGGGTGGGACCTTCTTGTTCCAGTAATTAGCAGCAAGTTCTACCACAGTTGCTGCATCTGTGGAACCAATATAGGTATCTCAGGCATTTTGTCAGGGCAGGCAGTGGTATCTGCAAGCTACTATGATCTATTCTTGACAAAATTAAAACAAAGCCCAGAAACTACTCATGAAGCTTAGTGAAACACTCCTTGGGATTGATGGTAGGAAAATACTCCATAGGAAGGAAGTATTTTTTTAAAAAAAAAGAAAAGACTTGAAAATTGGTGATTTTTCCTCTCCCTTACACCAAAGGATTGTTTTATCAGTACATTACAGGTAGTCCTGTTTAGCAACCTTGATTGGGATCCACAATGTGGTTGTTAAGTGAGAAATCGCATGACCATGACTGCAATTTTCCTTATCTTTCCTTTTCTTGTCAGAAAGATACAACCCTAAAAGCTGTTAGGGGTCTTCAAAGTTGGCCCTTTTATGACTTGGGGACTTCAACTCTACAAATCCACAAATTGAAGTTCACAAGTCATAAAAGGGCCAAGTTTGAAGACCCCTGAGCTGGGTGAACAAAAATGGTGGGAAAACTTTCTAGAATTTGACTCAAAAGGAAGTGGGGTAAAAGGGCAAATCTTATAGCCTGCTCCCATTCCCCCACCTTTTGGAGTATTTACCCCAGTACTAGAATAATTAGCAAGAAGAGAATTAATGTTTGTATTTACATTCAATGAAGAGGAACAATTGCAAGAGAATAAGAAGGCACACAAAATGGGGAATACGTTTTGAAAGGAATGCACTAGTGCCAGCTATTTGCCAGCTACCAGCCAAGAGCTGTTTAGGAAACAAGCAAACTAGGAAGGTGTGAAGCTGGATAAAGTCTTGTAAGTTTTTCAGGAGGCTAATTAAGATCACAGAGTTGGGCTTGTTAAGGAAGGACTTTTGGGGAATGTGCTGTACTATGCTGTGGGGAAAAAGCTGCTTAGGAAGAGATAGTTTTCTTAAGCACTCTCTGCTGGGGACAGAATAAACAAAATGGATCAGGGACAGGACAACACGCATTCACTGATTGTAATGGGAACACTTGTAAGAGATGCTGCAAAGATTGTATATGTGGGCATTAGTTGCGAAGTTACTTTTTCATTACAACTAGGAATGGTCATTGCCCGAGGCAATTAGCAGTTAGGAAGCAGGCAGTGGTAAAATGTTATGGTTAAGTGAAAGAGATAATTTACTCAATATATATTTAGATAAATATATTGGACTAAGCTTTTTGTTGCTAAATAATTTGATGGTTGCCCTGAGAATAATGTTGTGGTTACAGCTTTTCTGCTATTTTAATCTTATTGGTAGTAAGAATGGGAAGACTTCAGTTTTGTCTAGATGATTAGTGGACATCTAGAATAATGCAATGGGAACTCAGCTTTTAGCTGATCGTTACCCTTTCCATAACTGATTTTCCCTTTCTATTTCCTTTCAGGAGGCTTTAATTGGTTGAATGCAGTGGGAGGATCACACCGGGAACAGGGGACAGAGGTCCTATTCATGGTTAGTGACCCTTTCATGCTTTCAATCTTTAGAGCTTCCTGATTTTTGGTGAGTTTTGAATGATTTGTCTGTCCCTTTTTAGAAAGGGAAGAAATTTATAAGGTTATAAATCTGTGGTTTAATTCTATAAATTGTAAATCCTGTTTGAAAAATCACTTAAGGCAAACACACTAGTCCAATTTAGCACAAGTGTCAGATTACGATTATTTAAGAATTTTAGATAGTTGGGATAGCTTAACTTTCTTCTTTCAGCAAAGGGCCCTACAAAGTTGATGATGAATACTTGATGAAGTGATGGAAGGATTATGATTTTAGTTGATTGTATATTTTAGATTGTAACAGTGGGGGGTGGCAGTTCACACGAAGGAAGCAGTTTGCCTTAAAGTACCAATGCATAATGCTTCAGAAGTAGTGAAAAATGAAGCATTCAAAAGATACTAATGTGTGTGAGACAGTTTAAGGTGTAAGGTTGAAGAAAGTACCTGAAATGCTTTGGCACATGCACAGTAGTTTCTTGAACACCTGTGTAGTCCTTGTGTCCTTTGCATCCATCAGAAAATTCCCTTTTTTTTTGTAAGTGATAGGTAGTTCTCAGTTGGTTCTAACATTTGTTTTGACTAGAGTGATCATAATTCAGTACAAATTAGGATATTCTTATGTAGTCATTGTTCATTGGTAGAAAGCAGCATTCTGGTCCATTTGAGTTTGGAAGCTAAGCAGGTTTCAACTTAATACTTGAATAGAAAATGACTAACAAATTCCTGGAATGTATGTTAGGCTGAGTAAATAATATCAAGAACAATTTTTGAATCTATTCTTTTAATTTTTTTACCCTAAATGATTTTCTTGAATATAGTCTTAATTTAAAAAAATCGCTGTTCACTTTCATTAAATCTGCCTATTTAGAAATATAAGCAGTTGAAGTTTCACTTTTTAAATCTTTTTAAAATCTTTCTATCCTATAAAGCTGCAGAAAGTATTGATGTTAGTGAGTGCTGGCAATTTTTTTCAGCTTTCTTTTCAGTATTTTTGTGTAGAATGGGAGTACTTTAATGTCTTTTGCTTTTTTTACACCTTGCATTTAAAAACAGACACAGTAGCATGATATAAGGTTATTTTGAGAATTGCAAAAATGAGTTTAGGGCCCTTAGACACCCCATCTCTATGTAAGACAGCGGTTCTCAACCTATGGGTCACGATCCCATTTGGGGTCGATCGACCATTTCACGGGGGTCGCCAAGCAAGGCTGTCCGCCATTTTTTCCCCTTTTCCGGCGGGTGCCTTACCTCCCTTGAGCTGGGCCAGCTGGTGGTCGGCCTGCTCCGTCTCTGCCGCTTGCCAGCTACGCCTCGGCCGGCGCAGGGGGTGGAACCACGCATGCACGGCGCTCCTGGGCAGGGAAAGTCCTCGACGTACGACCGGTTGGGTAGTCCTCGAATTACGACCGGTTTAGTCCTCGACTTACGACCGGTTTAGTCCTCGACTTACGATCGGTTTAGTCCTTGACTTACGACCAGTTGGGGGTCCCGGCATTAAAAAGGTTGAGAACCACTGATGTAAGAGGATAAGTTACCACGATGACCTGGTAACATATCTTTATAAAAGCAGATGTTTTAATGAAAATATAGCAACAAGCAAGTTTTTCATTCAACAGGAGAAACCATAATAAATTTCAACTTACCAATTGAGCCAAGAAGAGATACTTGGGGGAAGAAAATATACCATTACTTTTAACTTAATTCTTCATCGCTAACTGAGTAATCAGGATGTTGCCATATGCTGGGCCGTTAGGACATTTATTTCTGTGATGGTTGGTGATGAATCATTAAAATGATGGGACCCCCTTAGCAAGCACCCTGGAAAGTACAAGCATGCTTTGTTTTAATATTTAGGATATCTGTGTCTGCTATTCTGTGATAATTATCTCATTAGTTGCTGTTTAATCCAAATCTATATCAGACAGAGAATGAAACCAAACTTTATGAGTTACTGCTTGAAGTAAAAAAAAAAATTGCAGTTACCTTAAGCCAAATGCAAGATAGTACTTGCAGCAAAGACAAAATACAACCTTTGTGAACAAGCCCCCAAGAGTACTAGAAATTTCCATATAGAGATAATTGAAACAAATAGTAAACTGTTTATCCCTTGCCAAGACAAGAAAATCCTGAATGTGTGTATATAGCAGTACAAGTGTATTAGGACTCTTATTGTTTGTAATGATTCAAAAAGATATACATCAGACTGTGCTTGACTAAGAACATGATTATTTCTGCTGTTCATTAAAGCGAGCTTCAAAATGGGTGTTGTGTTTTTAGGAATTGCGGGAACTTGGTGTGTTAATGATGTTTGATGCAGTGTGAGGATTTCTTTAAACAGTGGTGCTATGGTGTGGAGACTATTCATTGAATAATTGCTAGTGGACTTGCAGAAAACATTTCTTCTGAGTCACAGAGTATGCATGGTTTTAAAGTATATTTTGACTGCGTAAAAACAAGCAATAGAGCTTTATGCTTTTCTGCGTTTTCCTCACTAAACATTTTAGTCAGTTTTAAAGTCTTGCCACATATATAGTAACAGTTCTTACGTGACTTGGGATTCCGAGTAGAGCAGGTAGTAAAATTATTTGGGAATCCAGTATGCATGAAGTTATCAGACAAAGGCTAAATTTCCTGGTGACACTCAATTGGCCAGGGCTTTTCTGTCTGGGAATGGAAGAACAGGATAACTCTCTCTTGCTGAGAGGAGCAAGAGGTCAAACTCCTCTTCTCGTCCACCCTTTGATTTGTTGACCTGTTAACAGCTTTGATCATCCTGATATAACTGAACAGTTTTGCTAAGTAAAATTCTTAAAATGCAACATTCATTAAAAGCATTTCATAAGTTTTGTTGTGTGCTAAAAGGTTTGTGTTGTTTTCCAATCTCTGCAGGCAGTACTTAAAACAGGAAAGTCTGGATAAAAAGCGCAAGGAATTTGATACCAATGGCTGGATGCTCCTGTGTAAAAGAAGCCAGGTGTGTTGGTTTTATATGGCTGATTGTGTAAGACTCTGAGTTGTTTGTATTATCAATCATAGCTTGTATGTACTTCCCTAGTTTAAGATGTCAGAGGTGGAAGCAGATGCAGATATTTAATATATGCACCTGAAGAAAATTATGAGAATAATATCGACAGGCATATATAGGTAGATCTCGACTTACAACAGTTCATTTAGTGATCATTCAATGTTGTGACACTAAAAAAAGTGAGTTATGACTTTTTCACATGACCATTGCAACTTCTCCATGGTCACATGATTAAAATTCAGATGCTCTGCAACTGGTTCATATTTCTGATAACTGCAGTGTCCTAGGGTCATGTTGTTCAGCTTTTGCGACTTTCTGACAAGCAAATGGGAAATCCAGATTCACTTAACAACCATGTTGCTAACTTAACAAATGCAATCATTCACTTAACTGTGGCAAGAAAAGTCGTAAAATGGGGCAAACTCAATTAACAAATGTTTCACTTAGCCACATAAATTTTGGGGTCAATTGTGGTCATAATTTGAGCTATTGTCAACCCTTTCAAGAAGGCCAAGTCAGAAAGCAAAACTCCACAAGTCTGATTGGAACTATCATTTATTAATACAGATTATAGTAAAAGAATCTTAGACGTCTCACTGAGTTTTCCCTCTCTCTCTTTAAAAAACTCTAGTAAATTAAGGAGTTAATCTGAGCTTCTTTCTCCTGCCTTTACTGTTTCTTAGCCTTGAAGTATGCTTTGGTTTATATCGTGGTCTCTGCTTAGTTTCCCCAAGGTGAGCTAGGAAATCTGACTGATCATGCCCCCTCTGGCAGCCGTTTTATGAGAGTATCATTTCATATAATTCCAAATTTGGAGCCAATTTTGAAGGTTTCTGATCAACTGGAATCTGAATGCTTGTGGTAACTCTTTTTCAACACTTACTGCAGTATACAGCTGTTGCAAAAACTCTTAGCATTCTCCTTGTTCTGCTATTTAAGGAAAAAGTTACATTTAGTATTTCCATTTGCTTTCCAGCTGCACTTTACTTCTCATGGGGCTTATTCTTTTTTTCATTTCGAGCCCTTGTTGCTCTCCCCTGAAAAAGCCAGGCAAAGTGGCAGGAAGTTGAACAAAGAAGGGACACTGGAATGAAGGATATATGATGAGTGGGAGTAGGACACAGGCATAGATATCTTTAGTAGTTTCTGCAGCCAACTGTAATTATTTGAACTGGAGCTCAGTTGTGATTGGAACTAATTGTGGAACCTGTGGTAAAAGAGCCATGGTGACACAATGGTTAAAGTGCAGTATTACAGGCAAACTGCCCACAGCCAGGAGTTTGATCCTGACTGGCTCAAGGTTGACTCAGCCTTCTATCTTTCTGAGGTCGGTAAAATGAGGACCCAGATTCTTGGGGGCAATATGCTGACTCTGTAAACCACTTAGGGTTGTAAAGCACTATGAAGCAGTATATAAGTCTATTGCTATTGCTATCTACTTTGCCCTGTTTGCCAATTTGAAGCTTTGCTTTTGGTGCCCTTGCCTCTGTCTTGATTAAAACAGTCCTTTAATAGTAATACTTTGACCTGTACTCTTCCATTAAGAGCTTAAAACTTCGTCTGTTGTGTGCACTTTATAACAGTAGTATTGGATAAAGTTCGATGAAGTTCTCATCAAGAAAATAAAGGGAGATGGGTTTATTTGTCTTTTAAAGGAGATCCCACAACAAATGAATGGCAGTGATTGTGGAATGTTTGCCTGTAAATATGCTGACTGCATTACCAAAGACAAACCAATTAACTTTACTCAAGTAAGTTGGTGCTGAATGGGCACCTCTTTGTTTTTATGGGAAACACTGGTTATGGGAATTTGTGGCTACAGTTTGTAAATACAGTTTCAAAAATGATGATTATTTTTAACAAAGTACTGGCTAGATTAATCTTGGTTTTGTGTTTAAGCAAGAGAGGAGGGGCAGAAATATGTCAGTATGCATTAAAAAATGAATGCCCTGGTAATGTTACAAATATATTGATATTACTGATTTCTTACTGTTAAAGCAACACATGCCTTACTTCCGGAAACGAATGGTCTGGGAGATCCTCCATCGTAAGCTGCTGTGATTTCATGCCAAGTAAGACTCTTCAGAGACTGAAAACCCCAGGTTTCCTCTTCTTGGCCATCTCCAAATGGACTGCATGGGTTTCTCCACTGACAAGACTATGTACATTACACTTGGTGTCTTTAAAAAGAAAATACACCTATTTCTTGGACCAGTGTGCCATGCGGCCTTTTTGAAGCACACATTTTCTTTTGTATTTTGAAACTCTTATTTTTTACAAGGGACATTTGAGACTTGGAGGAATGCAGCTTTTTATCTTCAAGAAGATTTCTGCCTCTCTTAATAAAATGGCCGGCTTCTGCAAAGGACTTGAGACCTGCCAGTGTTCAGCTCTAGGCCTTGGTGCAGGGAAGCACTTGCAATCTTTTCTTGGATCTGTCAGGATCTAGAGAAGACTCAATGTCATAGTACTAAGTAGTTGTGGGTTCTCCATATTACTGTTGCTGCAGCTAAATTATCTGATGTAAAACATGCAGGGATGTGTTTTGGGGAATCTATTTGGCCCAGGTTTTTCAGACATATGTGCATGTTTATGTGTTTTCTGCTTCTTATAATCTGTTAATAACATGGGTGATTCCCACAGCAGTTGCAACAACTTAGATTCCCTTTTATTCTTAAACTATTAAAGAGAAATGGCATTCTTTAAGAATGGAAGGCGAATAGTCACCAGCACATGAAAAGTAACCACTTGCTCTGTTTTCCACCATGGCAGTGACCTTTTGGATTCTACAGTAGAGTTGCCCAGTGGAAAATTAACAATCCTTTATGTTGACATTCAGTGTTTATTTTGTCACAGTAAATGAGTCATCCTCTGATTATTGAGAGATTATGAGGATTATGAGTTACCCTCTGATAATTCAGGACTAAGCATTTATCCTAAAGACACGCAAGGATTTGTGGGAAGAGGCATTGTGCACCGAAAGTCCTTATTCTTCACTGTCCCCTCCCCAAGCCTGCCGTGGTGGGTTTTGAATCTGAGAAAGAAAAGTCAGACACCTTTGTGGCCTACATCACTGCATTCAGATGACTGGGATTATTATTGAAAGCCAGCATTTTTTTTCTTAACCATATTCTTGCAATGCGATCTGGAGCTTAGTTTCATGAAAAACTAAAATTTTGAAGAGTTGGTGCATTACATTTTCAATAAAAGTAGGATTTATAGCAAACTAAGCAGCTGTAATGTCAGTGGGTGTTCATTTGACAGGATTAAATAGTTCATCTTTCAGCTCTTTGTAGAATTAAGGTACAATATAACTTGTTTTAAGACTTTAATTATTGGTAAACAGTTTTTATACTACAAATATATAAATATATATATATATATTTATATGCCTTTCCCAATGACTGCCAATGAACAAATATATATATATATATATGAGGTTTGCAGCTTTTTTTTCTCTCTTTAAAAAGCTGAATTGAAAAGTTGCTTTTTTACTCATATGCTCCTCCCTCCTGTTTTTGTTGTTAACAGCAATTAATGAATTGAAGAATGCTCTAAAGAGTCTTTTTTTTTTCCATAATCCTATTTTTGCTTTGGATTACAACTTCCATCAGCCTCCTCCGATCCAGTTAATGGAAATTGAGAAAAATATATTGTACATGGGCACTAGATAGGGGAAAACTGATACTGAATCTGTCCAGCTTTTGTATGAAACCAGTAAGAAAGAGATCCTGCTGGCATAGGCTTTTATCTCTCAAGGGGCAAATTTTTCACAGGGCCCATGACACCCTGTTTAACATTGATGGAATCATTGTCTTTTGTCCAATATGAGAGAATATTGCCTTTTCAGATCATACTGAAGACTATCTTCAGTCCACCACCAACAATTTCGGTATAGCCAATCTTGCATTTGTTTCAGTGGAATCCATATTTAAATGGAAATTTTATATAGCAGCTGGATTGGTCTCTGTTTCTGCCATCAGCCAGCAGAAATGGAATGCAGCACGCAGAAAGGATTCAGGCTTGGATTTAAGTTCGCATGTCACACATACCTCTTGATGTATCTTTTTTTAAAAATAATAATTCTAAAGTAAATGTCCTCTTGTATTTCTGCCATCAAACAGGGAACATTTTATATATTCTATATGTGGAAACAATAGTTTTGTACAAATTTCCATTAGCCTTCTTAGACAGGTTTGTACCTTTTTTGATGTCTCGTATTTTTTTATACCAGTCTCCGGTCCCCTTTTTTATGTTTTTTCTTCATAATCTAATTTTATTTTGTAATGTGTTATTCTTAAATAAATCCAGCCATTTAAAAATGTAAAGAATCAAAGTCTGTTCTTTTATTACCTGCAATGTAATGTAGCTTGTATTCTTATTCCAGAGGATATAGTATATTTAATAGAATATAGTCATAGCCCTGCCATACATGCTTCACTGATTAGAAGGGAGTATCTTTTTGCAGAATAAGACCTTAGTAAATTATACTAAGCTTTTATTCTACAGTATAAACAGAATTAAGCTTACCCACAATAAAGCTTACAATTACCTATTAACATATTAATTAGCTATTCAGCTTTTACAAATGTGGTTTTTTTTTTTCTAAAAGAACCAAGTCCTTGCTTAGACAATGCTTAGAACTTTTAATCCAACAAAATAGCTAGAAATTTGTTTCATATGATTCACTGAATACGATTCCCTCTTGGTTCCAAATATTTTTTGGGAGATTAAGAAGTGGGAATATTTGATGTTCACGTAATCCTTGATCTAGAACAGTGGTTCTCAACCTGTGGGTCGGGACCCCATTTGGGGTCGATCGACCATTTCATGGGGGTCGCCATGCAAGGCTGTCTGCCATATTTTTTGTCCGCCATATTTTTTGTCCGCCATATTTTTCCCCTTTTCCAGCGGGTGCCTTACCTCCCTTGGGCTGGGCCAGCTGGTGGTCGGCCTGCTCCATCTCTGCCGCTTGCCAGCTACGCCTCGGCCGGTGCAGAGGGCGAAACCACGCATGCGCGGCGCTCCCGGGAAGGGAAAGTCCTCGACTTACGACCGGTTGGGTAGTCCTCGACTTACGACCAGTTTAGTCCTCAACTTACGACCGGTTTAGTCTTCGACTTACGACCGGTTTAGTCCTCGACTTACGACCGGTTGGGGTCGCGGCATTAAAAAGGTTGAGAACCACTGACCTAGAATCATTTGCTTAGTTACTGTTTGAAGTTACAACATGGCACTGAAAAAAAATGACATGACTGGTCCTCACACTTACGACTGGTCTTTGCATTTGTAGCATCCCCACAGTTGTGATCAAAATTCAGGCACTTGGCAACTGGCACATATTTACAATGGTTGCGATGTCCCAAGGTCATGTGATTACCATTTCCCATCTGGCTTTTGACAATGTCAATGGGGAAAGCTGGATCTGCTAAATGACAGTATCAAACAACTGGCAAAAAAAGGGCGTGACTGGATCATCTTGCTTAGCAACAGATATTCTGTTCTTAATTGTAATAACTCGAGGACTACCTTATAGTCTTGAGTCTTGACACTAGAGCCTTGCAGTGACAACTAGTTTCTTGCCATAGTTTGGCAGGTTAAAACTGTACCATAAAGGAACTAAGTAACAATCTTCTGCAAAGCTTGTTAAACAAAGCCTTGATTATAAACTATGCCTATAGTAAAAATTGAAAGTAGATATCAGCAAATACCCTTGTGGGCATTTTCTGATTGAGAATGTATCCCATTACCCTTTATGTTGCCAATTAGATTTATCTCTCAGTTCTGTTCAGCGAAAAAAACATCATCCATCCAACTTTAGTGATGCTGTGTCACAGAATGCTGTGTCATCAGCTTTCAGCATTTCAACCATAATGCAGTCATTTCCTGATTATTAGTTTACAAAAAAATATATCTGCTGTTGTAGATAGGGGGCAGTAGCCCCCCATATTCGAAGAAAAATATGGTGTTCATCATTTACACTTCATAGTGTTCATATATAAATATGTACAGCTGTCTTATTAAAAGTATCAGTTCACACCTATTAGTTCTCTGGCTAGTATTTGAAACTTTCTTGATTCTGGAGGTAGAATTTTGTGAAACAGCTGGCAGCAAAGTGTAGTTACCAAAAAGCATGTAATGAAGCTGCTCCAATCTGATATTCAATGATTGCAGCAATAACTCTATACTCATCTTTTCTACACTCAGTTTGTGTGCTGCAATTCCTGTTTTATCCCATTCATGACTCCGCCCTCCAAAATGCTCAGGGTAATTGGCTTCTCTACGAAATAAGAGATGGTTGCTGATTCCAGGGTTAGAATAGACTAATATTTTATAAAGATGGTACAGAGCTCATGATATAAAACTCAGACTACTTGTAAGAAAATTGTTTTGGTGAAGTTTACTTAGCTGTTAGATATTTGAACATCATTCACTTAAATCTGCCAAGTTGAGTGACAATATGTAGCAGACCTTGGATAATCTTAGAAAGCTAAGCAGGACAGACCGTGGTTTGTGTTTGGGTGGAAGACCATTAGGAAATTTGTAATAATAAAGTCACATATTACTCTACTCAATATGAAGCTTAATTTCCCCAAAAATATTAAATGTGAGCCCTGGTCTCTCACAGACTATCTTTGTATTAATGACCACTAAACTAATCCATTAATTTCATTAAATTTCTTTTTAAATTAGTCTCTGTGCCTTTTGGGGTTTACAGGTAGTCTTCGACTTACAACCACAACTGAGCCCAAAATTTCGGCTGCTAAGTGAGACGTTTGCTGAGTTTTGCCCCATTTTATGACCTTTCTTGCCACAGCTGTTAAGTGAATCACTGCAGTTATTAAGTTAGCAACATGGTTGTTAAGTGAATCTGGCTTCCCCATTGACTTTGCTTGTCAGAAGGTTGCAAACAATGATCACATGACCCTGAGACACTGGCAACCATCATAAATACAAGTCAGTTGCCAAGCGTCTGAATTTTGATCACATGACCATGAGGATGCTGCAATGGTGGTCAGTGTGAAAAATGGTCATATATCACTTTTTTCAGTGCTGTTGTAACTTCGAATGGTCACTAAATGAACTGTTGTAAGTCGAGGACCACCTGTACTTCTTAGCAATATACTAAAGTCAGTCATAATAATTTGACAGTCAGATGAGATAATCTGAAAGATGCCAAGATGAGACCCCTAGATAAGAAGCATACTGGAGAAGTTTGTGGAGTTAAAAAAATATGGGCCATCTACAGACTAATGTAATCGTGTTTCATGGAGTCTCAAGCTGTGAGTGAAAACATGAAATGATGACCCCCTTTTTTTTCTTTCTCTTTTATTCAAATATTGCCCACTGGCTGAGGGATTTTCAGGTCATGTTCATGTTGACTCTCCTCACAGCTTTCCCCTTGCAGACATGAGCAACGCTTTTCCCAACATTTCCAAGTCATTACCATCTTTAATCTCTCCACACACACGAACAAGGATCTTCTGTAAACGTTGCTGGAGCTGAACTGACAATATTTCATTTATACCTTGCTCCTTCTTCCAAGTTTTCTTACAGAAGACAGGAGCTCTTTATCCTAAGTTTAAAGGTAGTGCTCAGCTTACAACAGTTCATTTAGTGACCATTTGAAGGTACGACGACACTGAAAAAAGTGACGTGACCATTTTTCACATTTATGACTGTTGCAGCATCCTCGTCATGTGATCAAAATTCAGACATTTGGCAACTGACTCATATTTATGACTGTTGCAATGTCCAGGGGGGGAGGGGTCACCTCTTGTGACCTTCTGACAAGCAATCAATAGGGAAGCCAGATTCACATAACAATCGGGTTACTAACTTAACAATTGCAGTGATTCACTTAACTGTGGCAAGAAATGTCATAAAAGGGGGCAAAGCAATAGCTGACTCACTTAGCAACAGAAATGTTGGGCTCAATTGTGGTTGTAAGTTGAGGACTACCTGTATTTCAGAGTTCCTGCAGTGGTCATGATGTGGATTGCTTAAAGCTTCATTTGGCTTGCTTATCAACCAACATGTAAGAGAAGTGAATCCCTTTTCCACAGCTCTCCTTTAGAACTAATGAGACAAATGGATCACATATGGATCATCTGTGTTGTTTGTCCATCGATTTTCGATGAAGATGGATCATCTACATATACTTAAAGATCTGTTATACGAATATAGATGGTCTTTGCTTACTGATCGCTTGTTCAGTGACTATTCAGTTACAACCATGCTGAAAAAGGGGATTTAGAACCGATCCTCAAGGTTGCAGCCATCACGGCAGTCACATGATAGCAATTTGGGTGCTTAGCAACCAGGACACAGTTATGACAGTTGCATTATCCCACAGTCATGTGATCTCCATTTGTGACCTTTACAGCCAGTTTCTGACAAAGCAAAGTCAATGGGGAAACCAGTAGGAAATCACAAATTGCAGTCATGTGACATCACTTCATGACCTGTAGTGATTTGCTAATGACTGCAGCCAGACCTGCTGTTAGAAGTTGAGCCCAATCATGTGATATTTCATTTTATGAAGAGATAGCTTAATGACAGAGTTGTCAGTCCCAATATCTTGGATCCAAGTTGTTTGGGGCCTTTTGGGTCAGAACAAAAAACAATTTGATAATTGAATATGCACACATTAGACCAGTGTTTCTCAACCTTGACAATTTTAAGACATGTGGACTTCAACTCCCAGAATTCCACAGCCAGCAATGCTGGCTGTGGAATTCTGGGAGTTGAAGTCCACATGCCTTAAAATTGACAAGGTTGAGAAACACTGCATTAGACCAAAGTGTATGGGAGGACCCATGTTGAGAAAGGCTGGATTAGAATGTACATGGGATATACTCAGTTAATTCTGGTCAGTTTTTTTTTATTTTACTGTATTTTACATACATAGACACACACACACACACACACAGAGAGAGAGAGAGAGGGAGAGAGAGAGAGAGAGAGAGAGAGAGAGGGTTCTAGCCTAACAACTACTTGACTCAAGTTTTTTTTTTTAAAGGACATTCAGTTATTGAGAATATTGGAGTGCCATCCTCTGGACTGAAAAAGAATAAAATATTTTGGATGTCTGTCTCTGAGTGGGGAAGAAAGCTTCTCCTCCTGAGAAGAAAATTTGGGGTTTATTGGGCCTTTTTTTTTTGCCAGTGTGATTTTAAGTGTGAACTGGGCACGTGTATTTTTTGTTAGCAATATTCTGATCTTACTGTTGGAACTTTTATGTGCTTTAAATGATACCTCATCTTTGAACTGAACTGTGTCTTTCTCCCTCCCTGAACTGTGGGACGGGCACTTG